GACCGAACAAGTTGAGGGCCCAGCAGAGCATTGGGCCGAAATGATCGACTGTTCACCCGGAGATGGGCTACCAGAACTTGGGCCGGGCAGAGTTTGGACTGTGTGCTGCCCCGGACCGTGCAGAAGGTGCTCGGCCAGGAAGTGACCGGTCAGACCGGGATGCTCGGTCCGAGGATTGTCGAGACCAGACAGACCGAGAGGCTGGCGCTCGGAAAGGCGCGGTCAGCCGAGGTAGTTGATTGACCGGCGAGGAGGCCAACCAAAGGAGGAGCCCGGGTTAAGCTTTACCGAGATGCCGCCTAGCCCGGTCCTCATTCGGTTATCCGGCCAGGTGCTTAAGGTATGGGCGCTTAAGGTATGAAGCATGGTATGACCGAGGTAGGGCAGCTCGGCTGCCGAGCTCCAGCTATGCTGGCAGGCAGTTGAGAGCAGGTGATGAACGGCATGGTTTATGCTGACAGATGGGATAGCAGAACCACGTGTCAGGAGATGACAGGGAGTGGATATGGGGCACAGAAGGTATGTGAGCATGACGGCGCCCCCCCATACGGGACACACGAACACATCTGTAAGGATTTCTTACACTAAAATACTCTCTCCCTTCTCTCTATCCGTCTGAAGATGTGTGCTAACTTGACCGTCGGAGGGTTTTTCCGGCCACACACCGCCGGGTAGCTCATCATTATTTGCTCGCAGGTGATCGGACATCGACGGAGCTCGGAAGAAAGGAATACGGGCACGCCGGAATATTTGCTCCCCGTACAGTTGGATAACATAAAACTAATATTATGGGTAAATTGCACTTTGCGCCCTTTATATTTGGTAACTTTTTTACTTTGACCCTTCAAATATGTTTTTGTTTTTGTTTGTTTGTTTGTTTGTTTTTTTTTTTTTTCGCGTTAGCCCTTTATGTTTCAAATTTTTCTCAATTTATTTCTATAACTAACTTTTTGTTCAAAATTTAGAAAGAAAATACCAGTTAACTGTTGTGTAGCATAAAACAATATTATTATATTATAGTTTGAGTTTATGTAATAGGTGATATATAATAATTTTTTTTTATATCACGTGATTGTTAATGTGTCATTTTCTATATAATTTTGACAAAAATTAGCTTTTGAAATAAATTGAGAAAAAATTGAAATATAAAGGGTTGAATTGAAAAAAAAAATAAAAAATTTGAAGGGCCAAAGAGAAAATGACCAAACATAAAGGTGGCAAAAGTGTAATTTACCCTATATACTTATTTTTATTTTATTTTTATCAAGAAATTTATCCATGAATATGTGATTTAGTCTTATTTTGTATATGCATTCCGTTAGAATAGTTTAATAAAATAAAAATTGTCATTTATTCATAAATCACTTTTCACTTACTTACGTTTCACTTAATTTAATTTTTTTTTCTTATGTTCTAATTAGTCTTATAGGTGACATAGTTTCTAAAATATCAATAATAATAATATTCACATTGATAGTGTGAACATTCAAATTGTCAATGTGCACATTCACACTGTCAAATATGAATGTTTATATCACCAAATTGCTAAGCGTTCAAAAAATATTTGTAAGAGTAAAATTGTTCATAAAATACCTTATACATGAGAATTAAAATTTGGTAAATTAAATGTCCAAATAATAAGACTTATTGAAATACAAGAATATATTATGAACTAATTGAGACACAAGTGCTTAAAAAAGGATTTCCTAATAAATTCCCTTAATATTATATACTAAATTGTTTTTATCGAGAATTTTATCCATGAATATGTGATCTAGTTTTATTTTGTAAGTGGACCCCGTTAGAATATTTCAATAAAAATAAAATTATTTAGGGTGAATTACATTTTTAACCTTTATAATTTGACTCAAATTTTATTTTGGTCTCTGTTATTTTAAATTGAACAGTTTGATCTCTACACTTTAAGTCTAATTTTTGGTCTCTCAATTGAAGTTAGAGGTTAAAGTTAACGACTTTAGGGCATTTGTTAGTTTCATGAGATGTATATGTAGAAAAAATTAACAAAAATTGGGAAGGACCAAATGAAACTAGATTTAAAGTATAGAGATCAAATTATTTAATTTGAAATAATAGGAACCAAAATAAAATTCAAGCCAAATTATAGGGTAAAATGTATAATTATAATTAAACTTTATTTCTTTCTGTTACAATATTAATATAATTTTTTAATAATAATCATTTTAATTCAAAACCATTTTATATTTAATGAGTCCTAATATTGTTTTATTATGTGGGAAGCCTTGCCATCTGTGGTTATGTGGTTTGTGTGAAAAGCCAGAATGAAATCAAGTTTGCAGGATAGTGGTTAGCTGGTGTGAAGTTTGTGAGTCCATTAAGTTGCATATTGCTCTTTTGGTGAAGTACCATATTAAGGGGGTGGATTTTTTAGTCAATGATTTACTTTATAATTTGAAGTCTGTCAGGGGGCTATGAGATGCTGTCGTTTATTGTCTTTGCTTTGGTTGGGAGGAAAAAAAATAGTCAAATTTAAGTTAAAAATCACAAAAAGATAAAATAGGTTAAAATAGTTAATAAGACAAAATATCACATCAAATCCATAATCATTTTACTTTTTCTCTCACAAACATCACATCCAACCACAAAAAAATCCAATCATCTTCCCAAACACAAAAATTTTAGCATACTTAAAATAGCCAAAAACTAAAATAGCCTACCAAAATAGCCACTTCCCAAACGAGGCCTGTGTTTAGTTTCTTTTATTTCTTTTTGCTGTTTTGTTCCTTTGCTTTGGTCTCTGTTTGTTGTGGGTCTGTTGGTTGAGTTCTCCTTGACTCGCTTTTAGCAAGTGTAAGCACGTGATTGGGTGCCTTTTCTTGTGCCAACCTAGCTGAGATAAATAAGACTCACTATGATGCTATTAGCACTGCTTTTGTCTATTTTTATTGATGTAAGATGTAAATGATTTATCCTTACTTGTAATTCAATGAAGTCTATTTTTGCTAATAAAACATAAAAAAAAAAAAACGTTTTACTATTAAATTTAATATTTCTAATTATTGAGATAAACTATCAATAGATCCTAATAATTGAATTTAATTTTGTTAAGTCCTATTGAAAATATGTTCTAGTAAAATCATCGCTAAAAATAATTTTTTGTAATGATTTTTTACATGTCGCTAAAATTGACAATTAGTGACTTTTTTATCATTATTTTTATAAATCATAGCTAAAACTTACAATTAGTGAATTTTTCTGTGACGAATTTTCAATATGTTGTTGAAAGTTGAAAATTAGTGACTTTTTGTGATGATTTTTTAAACTATTGCTAAAATTTATAGTTAGTGACATTTTTTGTAACAAATTTTCAAACTGTCGCTAAAAATTAATAGTTAGTGACTTTTTTTAATAGTGTTTGATAAAATCATTAATTATCATATGACTTATTAGATAATAAATCCACCTATTAGGACTTACACATAAATCGCCTAATATGTAATTGATTTTTTAATTGGGTATTGATGCCCAACTATACTTCCCACTCTCTATATATTCTAATCTTTTAAAAAGTTAAAGAAAAAAAAGAAGGAAAATTTATTTATATAGGGAAATGTTGATTCATTACTTCTAAGAGTTTTCTTATAAATCAATTGCTTCTTTTTGTTTTGAAAAATTATATTTATTTGATTTGGTGTTATTTAAGTTTAAGTGAGTGTCCTTTTATGATTCTTTTTTTCTTTTTTTTTTTAATTTTTTTGATTTGTTTTTGGGATGGGAATGGAAAGATGAGGCGGAGGATTTTTTTTTTGAAAGGATTGGTGGTTGAAGTATTGGTTGTTAAGCGTGAAATTTATATTTTTGTTAGTGTGGTTTTTTGGTATTACATTGGATTATTACATTAGAGTGCTACATTTAGAAAAAAATACACTAAAGAATTTTTGGGTGCTACATTGATTGGAGTGTTATGTTTGGGCAAAAATATAAGGAGTTTTTTTGGAATATTACGTTGTTACATTTGACAAAAGTACACTAAAGAACTTTTTAGTGTGTTACATTAGGGTGTTACGTTTGAGAAAAACACACTAATGAATTTTTATGTTATACATTGATTAGAGTATTACGTTTGGAAAAAGTACACCAATGAATTTTTTTAATTTTTTTTTTGAATGTTACATTGTTATGTTTGAGAACAATATACTAAGAAATTTTTTAGTAGGTTATGTTGGAATGTTACGTTTTTAGAGTATTAGATTGAAGTATTATATTTGGGAAAAATACACTAAAGGTTTTTTTATTTTTTTTAAGTGTTATGTTTTGTAATTTCAACATTATCAGAAAGTTTACATTTATCTCTTAACACATAGCACACGTGCTTTTATACTTAACGCTTTACGTAATACATACTAGAATGAGACCTTTGGGTCTATAAAAAAAGAAGAAGGACAGACCAATTAGTTCATATAATCATTATTTAAAATTTATTGATATTTTACCCAAAAAAAGAAGGAAAGACCAAATTTGCTCCTTTTTTTTTTTTTTTTTTTTTTTTTTTTTAACTTTTAAAAATGGGTAAAAAGAAAGAGAGTTTAATTATACATTTTTGTACGTTGAGATGTTAGCAAATAAAGATGTTTCTACTTTCATTTGATATTTTTGGACAACTTGGAACTTGGTGATCGTAAATACTGGTGGATGAATGCTACGGGTAAATTGGATTTTATCTTAAAGCAACTCGATTGCTTCATTTCGTTAACATATTCATGAGCAGTTTTAGAATAGTGATAACACAATTTACAATAACTATGTTGTGCTTAACTCTAATTTAGTTTCTATATATGTGAACATAAGAGAAACTCAATTCATATATTTACTTGACATTGTTATTATTTTGCTAGACAATCAATCCTACAATACAACAATTAGATCTCAATTACACTTGTTCATTCATATTAATTTTCTTCACCAATGTTTATGGTAATTATAATTTTTCTAAGATATATTCATGCATGTTCCACGTTAGGATGGCTGTCACAGGAAATCTGCCAGTTAAAAACCCGGCAATTTTTTTTGCATGTCATGTGACTTCTTGGAGTTATAATCCATGATTTATTCATCCAGTTTGATCATTAACGTGACTCTCAGCATGATTTTCAATTACCAGACTCAGCTAATCAACCTCAAAATCCGTTAAAGCACAGAGATCTGCCAACCCAAATCATGTTATAAAAGGTAATCCTCTTCTGCATTGATTTTCATTGAGATTATTTGTTCTTCTTTACAATGCAGTCTCTGACTTCCATCAAAACCAAGTTCAGCTCTTTGAAACAAAAACCTCAAATTTTATCCAATAATTTTATTTTGAGTCTATTCAAATTAGTGGGTATTTCAGGATTACTCATCTACTTGATCTACCTAATTGTTTTCTACCATTCTGGTTGCTCATCAGCTTCCAAGTTCTTCTTCTTCTCACCTTTGCAGCCGAATCAAAGTAACTCTCCCACTAATGTCAGCCACCTTGTGTTTGGACTTGTTAGCTCTGTCAAAACATGGAAACCCAGAAAGCCTTACATCGATTCATGGTGGCGACCCAACGTGACACGTGGCTATCTCTTCCTAGACAGAGGCCCCATGGATGAGCTCCTCCCATGGCCTAAAACTTCTCCCCCTCTTCGGATCTCGGATGACTGGTCTAAATTAGAGAAAGAGTCGAAGCACATAGCGCCAATCATGATTCGCATGGTACTTGCAATTTGGGAGACTTTTAGAGAAGGCGACGATGGAGCGAGATGGTACATTATGGGGTTTGATGACTCCATTTTTTTTGTGGACAACTGGGTTAATGTTTTGAACAAGTATGATCATAGTAAGTATTACTATATTGGGGGTAATTCGGAGACTGTTCTGTCAAATTTGCTATTCTCGTTTGATCAGGGTTTTGGAGGAGGTGGATTTGCATTGAGTTATCCTTTAGCAGCAGCAATGGTGAAAGATTTGAAAGGATGTATAAAGAGGTACCCATATGTGAGGTCACATGATACGATTGTACAGTTCTGTGTTGATGAGTTGGGAGTTTCTCTTACTATTGAGAAAGGCATTCATCAGGTAATTATTCTTTTCAACATTCACTCCATTCATTATATAAATGAATAGTAATTTATTATCAAATGTAAAATTTTGTTAGCAAAAATATAAAATTAACACTTTTCACAATAATAACATTTCATTTCTAAAATTAACTACAAAAATTATTTTGTTCACCACTCATGGAGAAATTATTTCATGTTTTGTGGACAAGGTCAAGCAATCATGATGTCCATAAATACTATTGACAAAAACAATAAAAATATATCATTTTATATTAAATAATTGAGAACTAACATGATTTTTATCATTAGTTTGTGGTATTGCCACATGTTGGTTATGGGACACTGATTAATTTTTCCTATCATGGGATTAACAATAATTCTATATTTCATTACTAAAATAGTGCTGTGAGCTCCAATTAATGCGTCTTGACAATTCTCTTCAAAAGGTCTGTGTACCTACTCCTCAGTTAATTGGATAAATTAGCCGGATGGTTCTTACATTTTATCGTTTATGTTATTTTATTTTTAATAATTTTAATTGATTTAAGTTTGATTCTTAATTATAAATTTTGAGTCAATTTGTTCTATTGATATTTCCGTTAGGATTTTTGATAAAAAATTTTCACTGAATTGGTTAAAGTTAAGTCATTAATTTGATTAAGGTTATCATTTTACTCCTAGAAGTATGACACATGCTTTTCATGTGGGCATTTGCCATAAAAAATGTTAACAATTAGAATTAATTGGATCAATATGAGATAAATTTAAAAATTTAAGGTCAAAATCAATTCAATTAAAATTACAGTGATCAAAATGATACAAAAGTTAAATTACAAGGACTAGTAGTTTAATTTGCCCTATTTAATTTACTAATTAGATGATATGAGAATTTAGAAATAAAAGATGAGTCAAGGATTGTGATTGAATTGGAATATGGCATATAATTTTGGAGATAAAGGATATCAGTGTATCGAACAGTTAACATGATATTATTAAAGGAGGCTTACGTGTAAGTTATAATAGATAAATTTATTGTTTAATAAGTCCTCTGATAATTAATGGCATTTTTATTCAAACACTATTAAAAAAATGTCACTAATTGTTCATTTTTAGTGATAGTTTGAAAATTTTATCACAAAAAATATCACTAATTATAAATTTTAGTGACAGTTTAAAAAAATCGTCATAAAAAGTCACTAATCTTTCACTACAGTCTGAAATTTTGTGGAAGAAAAGCATATAGTAATTCTAAGTTTTAGAGACAATATATACAAATTGTCACCGAAAATGTTCTAATTATTAATTTTTAGCGACATATGAAAGAAATTATCGCAAAAAATTATTTTTAGTGACGATTTAGTAAAACTTTTTTTTAATAGGATTTGATGAGAATTAAATCCAATTATTAAGATTTGTTGATAGTTTACTCTATTATTAATCTCCCCCTCCCCCCCAAAAAAAAAAATTATGGGACTTTTTTAAGTCTAAAATTTGAATTGGAAGGCTTTATTTGAGCTTACGGGATCAATCAAAAGTTTTGTTTTGATGATTTAAATTGTTTATTTTGTAGGTTCTTTTGTATATGTCACTCATAAAAATAAAAAAAATAAAAAAATAAATTAGATCTCTTCGATAATTATAATTTCTTCAATTTTATTACATTTGTATCTAAAAAAATACACAATAAAATAAAAAAAATTATGATTATTGGATCATCATAGTTTTTTTCGTGGATGATATCTGCGCAGGGATTTACAAAATGAATGGTTCAAAATATTGAAATGTGACCCAGTGGGCTAGCTCTAGATAATTTGTGGCCTAAAGTAATAATTAAAAATGAGGCCTTTTATATAATAATTTTTTAATAACATTTTTATTTAAAATTTACTTTTCGAACTTTTTGAGATGCAAAAATATTAATTATATCTTTATATTCAAGTTTTGCTAACAAATCCATTTTAATTGATAATATAGGTAATCCACTTAAGCTTTTTTGCCTAAATTGTTAGTATTATCATTTCTTTTTTGTATAGTTTCAATATGTTCTAACTCTTTTGGATAAATTATTTTTTCATTTACAGAATTTTCATCTACATTTTTTTGTTGTTATATTTTTATTAGTTATAATGAATTATCAAGAGCTCTTTTTTTGAGATTGAATACGATTTTTTTTTCTTAAGTTTTTGATATCCAGATTCATAATTTCTATTAGATATATTTGTTTTCTCTAAAAATAATTTTCAAAAACAGAGCACAACATTGGAAATAATAAATATACAATATATATATATATATATATATTGAAAAAGGTAGAACAATAGAACCTGATTTTCCATCTTCACTGATAAATAGTAGCTATTGATCATATATGTAATTAAAGTTTGGACCCATTTGTCCTGTTTTATACTCTTTTATTCAAAATATAAATAATGAATCACCTGGGCCTGTTAGATTATATAAAAGAAGTGGGCCGGCTTGGCTGGCCTTATGGTCCAGTCAGCCCTCGTGACCCATGATAGGTTTTATGAACTTGAACAATACTTTTAAATCTAGATATGGACTGAAGAAGAGCCCAATTATTTTTATAACTTAAATAGCCTGAAGACATTAGTCATTAATTGGTGATTTTGCATCTCATAAATTAAGAAAATGAAATTTTAAATAAAAGTTCGTAGTTACATTTTTCACAAGTTTAAAGACCTTAGTCATTAATTGGTGATTTAGCATCTCAAAAATTATGAAAATGAAATTTTAAATAAAGGTTCTCAATTATGTTTTTCACAAACCTTAAATAAGCTTGTGCAAACTCTGATTGAGTCACTCAAAATAATGAGACCAAAGAGTTGACTTAGTGGTTGAAAGCGTTCATTTATCAAACGTTGTACCTAATTTGAGGAGTTGTTTGGAAATGCATTAAATAGGTACACTTATTTAATAAATATATTTATTTAGATTATACTATTTTTTTTTTCTTATGTAGATATATATTTATATATTTTTTTTAAAGAGAAAAATTATAAATTTTCAAAGGGCAGATCTGAATCTAATCTGGCCTTAATCTGCCCGTCGTCCTCACATCTCTCTGCTCGTCGTCGTTAGAGGTGGCGCTCGTCGTCGTCGTCCTAGTCGGAGGTGGCGTCGTCGGAGACGGACCGTCGTCGTAGTAGGAGGTAGCGTCTCAGACGGTGAGGAAGAGAGAGAGAGGGAGTTGAGGAAAGAGAGAGAGAAGAGCATTAATGAAATGAAACAAAAAATAGAAATGAGAGGGTTGAAATGAGAGATGAAAAAAAATAATAAAAAAATATATATTATATATATATAGATCAGTTCGGGGACATACGGGGTGGGGCCGAGGATTGGGTACTTATCACCGTCCCCGACCTGAAATTAATCGGGGATTGGTTTTTGAATACCATCCCCGTCTCGTCGGGGGTATTTTTCGGAGAAAACCCGTTCAAATCGGGGTTGGGAGATCGGGTCCCCGTCGGGCCGGCATTCCGTTGCCATCCCTACTCCTTACTATAAACTATCATCACCAATGACCTTCTCCATTAACCACCTTCGGCCACCACTTCCCTTTACCGCTAACCACCTGTCATTGCCACCAAACATCTCTCATTGGTTATAACCACCTTTGGCCGGCCACCGATCTTGAAAACCACTTTTGGTGGCCAACAGACCACAATCTTCAACCTTTGACAAGTACTTTTGATTAACACTCCTTGTGGCCAATAATCACATCTAGCCATTGCTAATTGCCTCTAACTGATGGCAACAATTTCGACCACTACCTCTTGTGGCCAACAATTACCTCTGGCCACCATCTCCAACCAATGACAATCATCTCCTGCAATCCCTATTTGTTTTTATTTTTATCCAAAATAAACATAAACACGTTTAATGTTATGTTTTTTGCAAATAAAAAATGATAAACTATAAACATTGTCAAACGACATCATAGTGATATGTATGATTTTCCTTTTAGTTTTAAATTAGTAGCATTTTTTTTTATATAATTACCACCAAAAAAATTAAAATTAAAATTATTTTAATGTAAAAAATACTAATTAGTTTTGATTTCAAGAAATATAAGATTTATTCACTATCAATAATCGAGCTAGATCTAATCTATCATAAGGATTTGCCTTTTCCTTCTAGTTTTATATAGTTGGCTTCTCTCCAGTTCATTGCATTTTAGGCAATTGGGTCTACTATGGATGTCTTTTGATGATATAATGGGAAATTCTTTGGTGTGCACCCGTTTAGGGGTGCATACTGTATGCATCCAATCACAAAACATGTGTAATTTTATTACAAAATTTCGTAATGTTAAACACAAAATGCGTAATTTCGTCACGAATTAGCGTAATAAAATGTTCAAAAGTTTATGGTTTGGTTATGACATTTTTTGTTACCTTATTTTGTAACGAGGTTATGCATTTTATGATTAATGTTACGAAATTTTGTAGTAAAATTACATGTTTTGTGGTAGGGTGCATAAGGGTGCACACTATAGCATTTCTTTCATATAATATATTCATTTTATAGAATTCTGTGCGTAGATCATTCATGAATAAAAACTAATTAATTTGAAAGTTGTAATCACATGATTTCTTTATAATTGTCTTTAAAAACAACCGCATTCTATTTCATAAATTATCAAATCATGTGATTATATTAATCTGATCAATCTAATTCGTTTCATAAATAATCCATATATAAAAATTTACAATATGAAGTTTGAAGGATGATCCATTATAAAGCCCAAAGACTCGAACTTCACCAACTTCCCTTACAAAATAATGGAAACATGATGTCTTAAGTTGCATTCCTGTAATATCTTGGTAAACTTAGAGAAATTTCCTTGTGTAAATTCTCTTAGAAACAAGTTATATTACATTTGCTATTGGATGCAGATTGATCTACTAGGTGATATATCAGGTTTTCTATCATCCCACCCACAATCTCCTCTACTTTCTCTCCACCACTTGGATTTTGTAAACCCTATCTTCCCTTCCATGGATAGGATGCAATCTACAGACCACCTCATGAAGGCTGCAAAAGTCGACCAATCACGTTTATTGCAACAAATTATTTGCTATGCAAAGCAAAGAAATTGGTCTTTCTCTGTCTCATGGGGCTACTCTGTTCATATTTACGAGGGGTTTCACCCTCGTAGCATGTTAAAGAGACCACTTGAGACATTCACACCGTGGTTTAAGAATGCAAAGCCTCCAAAGTTCATGTTCAACACCAGGCGGCCATGTGAAAATCTTAGAGTTTTCTTCTTTGAATCCATTGAAAAGAGCTCAACAAACAAAATTGTTACTAGGTATGACAGATCATCAACACTTGGCTACGCAAACTGCCCATGGAAGGGCAATCATTCTGCGGATCACATTTCCAAAATTCATGTCTTCTCATCAACAACAAAGCTCAAGGAGGTAAGAATTATATTTTCTCTTTAGTTTTTCTTTAAGCAAGAATTATTTTTATCATAACACTAGATAAATTTATTTGTTTATTCTTTTAATTTTTATATGGATCCATACAGAAAATTACAAAAGAAGCAATGTAATATTTTTTTTTTTTTCCTTTCATTCTCCATTCCACCACTGATATTTTTACCTAGCTAGTGATAGCTTATGGTCTCCATAAATCAAAGTGGGTTAGAACCCTGTTATTTGTATAAAGAAAACTATTTTTTAGATAAACAAAGGGTAAATTATACCGCTCTCCCGTATATAATAGAAAAATTACAACTAACCTAGAAGTTTGTCATAATTAAACCAACCTTGCCTCCAACAAGGATAAACATAAAAGATCTAATGTGAAATTACTTGTCTTCCTTTTTATTCTTATGAAAATTACTTTTTTTGCACTTCGTCATCTCGTCATCCTCACATTCCTAGCTTATTTTACATCCTAACCCACGTTTCTCTCATTTGTCTTTTACTTTATTTTTTTATTTTTTTATTTTTTCAGTTACTTTTTTCTTCTTTCTTTCTCTTCATTACTAACCAAAGCCACTTACTTCCTTCTCTTCCCTTTGCAAAACCACCCCATTTTCTTGCTCTCACTGTGTAACTAATCCTTCCGCCACCCTTAACCACATTTACTACCATTATTATCCTCTACTGAATCCTTCATTAGCTCCATTGTGAATTTGCCACCAGCTCCACTAATCCTTCATTTGACATCTGTCTTCTCTACCAAATTTTGGGCACCCACTTCAAGAATTTGCACATTTGACAATCACTTTTGGCAAAAAGTTGACTTTGGTACCACCGCTATCCAATACCTATGCTGCCACCTCCCTCTCTCTCTCTCTCTCTCTCACACCCTTAATTTTGGCCACTATTGCCACCATCAAGTCTTTAACCTATTGTGAACTCACCATCTCTCTATATTCTTTTCCTCAAAGTCACCACTCAAACCATTTATGCCATCTTATCACCACATCACCCTATCAAATTTGTAATTCTTTTTTATTTTATTTTATTTTGTTTTGTTTATTGTTTCTCGATATCTCTTCCTCTCTGTAATTCCTCATAGCCCCACAACCCCCAACCCATAGACATTTTCCTCGAAAAACCCAATTCTAGTTCTAGTGGTAGTTTTGTACTCTATAAAAAGAAAAGAGAGAGAAGCAAGGGGGGAGAGAGAGGAATGATGTACCATAGGAGAGAGAAAATATAGTGTTTTTTTTTTATTTATAGAGTTGTTGTTTTTGTTTTTTATTTTCTTATAATATATTTTATATGTTGTTTTAATTCATTTCTCACTTAGCCACTTTTTAGTGACAAAGGTATGTATGTAATGCAAATAAAAAACTTAATAGAGGTTAGTGTAATTTTGTTGAATTGGCGGGATGAGCTATAATTTCCTATTAGTTAGTAGAGGTCTGTGTAATTTTTCCTAAAATAAGAAATGCCAAAAATGAAAAAAGAGAAATGAGTAAAAAATTTCAAAAAAAAAAAAAATGCAATTCCCAAATTGGGCTAAGTGGCGTAATAAGGGTTGCAAAGTTCTTAGGTTTACATAATACCCATCAAACAATATTCAAATAGTTAATTAATGTATTGTGGATAGTTTGAATGGAAACTACAATGTTATTTTGTTTACAAGTCAAATAAAAGATGTTGTTAATGCCATAAATTAATAACTCACTTTTACAAAGGAGTCATGTTTTATTTATCTAACAATTCTCTCTCTCTCTCTAGGTTGAAAGAAGTGAATGTTGTGACACTTTACATGTGGTTGGGACAAACATTGCAGAGGTTCATCTAAGGGCTTGCAAGGATGATGAAATAATTGCTTAAATGAAATGTAACATCACATTGTTTCTAAGAGATGGGATGGTCTAAGGCCAATTGCAAGACTCCAATAGGCCTAATAAAAGCCAAATGAAATAAAAGATGGAACATCTCTCATACACGCAAGTTGGTACTGCACTTGCGAGGTCAATCAAGCAAGATATTGTATGACACATGAAAAATATTATTACTACAAAACGGTCCTAGAAAATGTTGCACTTCATGAATAATATGTACAAAGAAATGTTGGAAACAAAGCTTGATTATTGAAAGGAGAATTGTGATGCCCCAGGTCTTGGACTTGATTTGGTTATGCCTTTCAGACTATTTTTTTTTTTTATCAGCAAAGAAAATGAAATTTTATTGACAAAAAAGAAGAACTTGATTTGGTTATGCCTTTCAGACTATTTTTTTTTTATCAGCAAAGAAAATGAAATTTTATTGACAAAAAAGAAGAACAAAAAAAGACTTGGCACAAATGCATCATAGTTCTAAAATACATCCCAACTAGGTTGGCACCTATTAAAGAACCCAATCATGTGTAGGCACAAGCCAAAAAAAGGCTGAAGAGCACTCAACCAGAAGAGATACAAAGAATAAGACAAACAAAATACAGAACATCATAATGAGATCCTAGCTCTATAGCCTTTGATGCCATGTAAACAAAATAAAAAGTCATGAATTCAGAATTCTAGCAGGTTGAACGATTGCTTTACCCAAAACGCCACATTGATCTTAATGTTTTCCACCAAGTCCACCCAATTAGGTTCCTTGGAATTGAACACCTTATCATTCCTAGCAATCCATATGGTCCAGAGAATTGCCAAAGGCAAGGCTTCCCAAATAACTCTTCCCAGATGCTGCCTTTTCTGACCAAACCACCAAACTAACATCTCTTGGATAGAACCAGAAGAGACCCACAAAATGCCCCACCAATTGACAATATCAGACCAAATCCTCCAGGAATAATAGTAGTGAACTAGCAAATGAACTGTTGATTCTTCTACATTACCACAAAATGCACAATGGATGGGAGTGTGGATTATATGGCGTCTAAGGAGGAGATTTGCGGTTGCAATTCGATCCCACCACACCAGGTGCAACTGTCTTCCATAACTTCATGACAGGAAAGGATGACACCTGAAGAGAGATCTCAAATAAATCATAAATAGACTTAACAGTGAAAATACCTGATGAAAAGGGAGTCCAGATCAGTTTATCCTCCACAGAATCTCTGTTTCTTTGATTTCAGTGTCCTGAATGTCATGTGACGTATTAGTGTTTGGGAATTTAACTTGTTTAATTTTCATGACTACCTTTCCGAGTTCAAATTTTGGAATTTCGGGCGTAAGGACAAATCGGAAGGGTGTGGAAACACCTTGGCAAAGTCGTGCCCACCTCAGGCTTTTTCACACGTGCAGTTTGGTGTAAGCAATTTGGATTTTCTAGACAGGGGGCCGTACATACGGTGGGAGGCTCTACACGTGTGGCGGTGTGTCCCGCATGTGCGAAAAGAGAAAGCCATGAGGTGAATGTTTCTGCAGTAAACCGCACATGCAATTGAGAGTTTCCACACATGCGGCTAAAGGCTCCACAGTGCGTTTGCCTTGATTTTTGTGCATTTTTTCCCCACTATTTGGCTGATTTCCTTCAATTTTTTCACCCCTCTCTCTCTCTCTTTCTCTCTAAACTCTCATCTCTTCCTTCTCTCTAAAAACTAAACCAAACCTCACAAAATCTTCTCATCCAAACAAATTCGTCAAGAAGTTGATAGTAGTTATTGAGGCCAAATTAATGAGCATACCAAGGGTGTCGTTTTAACTGGAGTAGACCAAATTTCTGACAAGTTTGAATTTGGGGGTTTTGTTCTTGGTTCTCCTCTTCTCTCTAAAAAGTAGGGATTTCTCTAATTATTTTCAATACAGTTCTGAAAGATGGATATGTGGTTACTTTCATTACATAAATTTTGGAATTCGATAAGGATTTCATTGCATGTATTGTGAGTATCTAGGGTTTAGTTTATGTTGTGTAATTCTTATGGTATCTCCTATCAAATGTGAATTTAAATGGTTTTGAGGTGCATGGGTACTTTGGAAGAGAAAAACCCTAATTTTCTTTTAAGAAAACCCTAGGTAACGTTTAGTTTACTTTTCAAAACTCAATTATATTTTTAAATCATAGTTTGGATCAAAATTCGTAACCAAACAAAATTTTAAAATACAACTTAAAATTATTTTCAAAACTCCTCTATTCTCTTATTATTATTATTATTATTATTATTATTATTATTATTATTATTATTATTATTATTATTATTATTATTATTACTAATAATCAATCAATCAATCACTTTTTATCTCTTCTCTCCTCTCCTCTCACATTCTCTCACATTGTATATTTCAATCAATGAAAAATAAAAATAAAAATAATGACAAATCATCCCAAAATTATTTTCAAAACTCATAACTAAACAAATTTTATATTTTCTAATCATGATTCAAAAACTCAAAACTCGAAATATAACTCCACACTCAAATTATAATTTTAAAACTAAACCAGAAAGACTATTTTTTCCCTCTAATTTCTTGAGTTGGAGGCTTATATCCATTTTGGAAATTGAAAAATTTAATAACGTTAATTGAAGAACTAGTGAGGGTGAAAAGTTTGTATTTGAATAATTGATTGAGATTTTTGAGAAATTAAATCGAGCGTTGTTAATTAAAGTATATGAAAATTAGAAATGTTTAAAGTGTTATAAGAATTATATGGGAATATAAATAGACTAATTTTGAAGGATTCTGAATTTGGTTAGCATTACTTATGGTGATTGTGTTTATACCAATTACTCAGGAATTATATAAGTGATTAATAAATAGGGATGGTTGAGGTTATGTGTTTGTGATTAATTAGAAATATGTAAGTGAACAGTTAAGGAAGTTGGTTAAAATAAGGTTTTCGAATAAGTGTGAAGATAAGCGAATGTTTAAAAATCACTAGAATGCATGAAAGTATTGAAAACAAAAACGAAAGGAAATAATACTTGGTTTTGGAAAGTTATGTCTTATGCTTATTGTGTCATCGAAAATACTTGTCGTTCAAGAGCATGGCACATTAATATAGGTTTTGTTTCCTTTCGATTGGCACCTGGTAAAGTGTGTGTATTATTGAGCTATATAGAGATTTCGTTTCCTTTCGTATAGTAACTGGTAAATCATGGCGCGTTGAGATAGGTTTCAGTTTCTTTCTGGTTAGCGCTCGGTAAAATGTGTTGAGATGACTTGGCAAAGCCCAAAATTATGGAATGTGATTGTGATAGTTGTTTGCATTGCGCAATTGTGTAGAAATATGTGTACGTAGTGGAATTGTGATAAATGCTTACTTGCTCTCCTAGTCATAAGATCAGGATGTGTGGAAATGTTGTTAGTATTATTGATTGATAAATAGATAACTTGTTGAAATTACTTTCATTTATATTCATTATGGATAATTGAACTATTAAATGGTTGCCTTAAGAATTCCTTGGATTACTTGTTATTGTGGATTGTTAGGTAATTATAATTGGATTTAACTTCGATTACACAAAAAAAAAATTTAAGATACTTCAAATTTGCAAAGGACAAAATGAAAGGTTAAAGAGTGACTTTATTCGAAAAAATGTATAATTATGTATATATTTATATATATTTTGGATAGTGAAAGGAAACATTATTTATATGCCTATTATGTAGAGCATCATGATCATATACATATATAGAATTTTATTGGTTAGAATTATTAGGATTTTTACTGGACTATATGTTCATTCCACGTTATTTAACCTTTTTCAGGTTCAAGCTTAGAAAGTTGTGCTCAAGCTGAAGAAGCTCTCTTTGTTTTGAATTCTGGATTTTATTTTAATAAAAAATAAAATTAAATTCAAATATTTTTGGCCCAAAAAGATTAGAAGCCCAACCACGCACCCGCGCCCAAGCCCAGCCCAGCCGACCGGACGGACGGCGGCGTGCGCACGCGCGTGTGGTGATTTTTGGGTCCAATGGGTCTAGCCCATTTTGCCCATAACCTCTCCCTCTAAAACACTTGGGTACCCCTTGGGGCACACCCCAAGTATCTCACCCTAAGCCTTATAAACCCTTTCAAAACTTCCCACCAAATCAATGTGGGACAAGCCAATTTACAACCTTAAGGAATTTCCACCAAAACTCCATTTCCATGGAGCACACTTTGGCTTCAATTTTCCATTCACTCGGTAATGGTTTTGAGCAACCAAATATACCACGTGAATCACAACGCGGCATAGAACGCGTTACCACTTTGACCCGAGTAAATCGACACTCGGGGCCCATCTAAAAAATAGATCGAACTTAGAAAAAAATTCTGGTTTTATCCAGAATTTTATAACCATTTCCAACAAAAAAGACTTGGCACAAATGCATCATAGTTCTAAAATACATCCCAACTAGGTTGGCACCTATTAAAGAACCCAATCATGTGCAGGCACAAGTCAAAAAAAGACTGAAGAGCACTCAACCAGACGAGATACAAAGAATAAGACAAACAAAATACAGAACATCATAATGAGATCCTAGCTCTGTAGCCTTTGATGCCATGTAAACAAAATAAAAAGTCATGAATTCATAATTCTGGCAGGTTGAACGATTGCTTTACCCAAAACGCCACATTGATCTTAATGTTTTCCACCAAGTCCACCCAATTAGGTTCCTTGGAATTGAACACCTTATCATTCCTAGCAATCCATATGGTCCAGAGAATTGCCAAAGGCAAGGCTTCCCAAATAACTCTTCCCAGATGCTGCCTTTTCTGACCAAACCACCAAACTAACAACTCTTGGATAGAACCAGAAGAGACCCCACCAATTGACAATATCAGACCAAATCCTCCAGGAATAATAGCAGAGAACTAGCAAATGAACTGTTGATTCTTCTACATTACCACAAAATGCACAATGGATGTGAGTGTGGATTATATGGCGTCTAAGGAGGAGATTTGCGGTTGCAATTTGATCCCACCACACCAACCATCCGAAAGATTTTATCTTCGGAGGTGCAACTGTCTTCCATAACTTCATGACAGGAAAGGATGACACCTGAAGAGAGATCTCAAATAAATCATAAACAGACTTAACAGTGAAAATACCTGATGAAAGGGGAGTCCAGATCAGTTTATCCTCCACAGAATCTCTGTTTCTTTGATTTTAGTGTCCTGAATGTCATGTGACGTATTGGTGTTTGGGAATTTAACTTGTTTAATTTTCATGACTACCTTTCCGAGTTCAAATTTTGGAATTTCGGGCGTAAGGACAAATCAGAAGGATGTGGAAACACCTTGGCAAAGTCGTGCCCACATCAGGCTTTTTCACACGTGTAGTTTGGTGTAAGCAATTTGGATTTTCTAGACAGTGGGCCGTACATACGGTGGGAGGCTCTACACGTGTGGCGGTGTGTCCCACATGTGCGGAAAGAGAAAGCCATGAGGTGAATGTTTCTACAGTAAACCGCACATGCAATTGAGAATTTCCACACATGCGACCAAAGGCTCCACAGTGCGTTTGCCTCGATTTTTGTGCATTTTTTCCCACTATTTGGATGATTTCCTTCAATATTTTTACCCCCACTCTCTCTCTCTCTCTCTCTCTCTCTCTCTCTCTCTCTCTCTCTCTTTCTCTCTAAACTCTCATCTCTTCCTTCTCTCTAAAAACTAAACCAAACCTCACAAAACCTTCTCATCCAACCAAATCCGTCAAGAAGTTGATAGTAGTTATTGAGGCCAAATTAACGAGCATACCAAGGGTGTCGTTTTAACTGGAGTAGACCAAATTTCTGACAAGTTTGAATTTGGGGGTTTTGTTCTTGGTTCTCTTCTTCTCCCTAAAAAGTAGGGATTTCTCTAATTATTTTCAATACAGTTCTGAAAGATGGATATGTGGTTACTTTCATTACATAAATTTTGGAATTTGATAAGGATTTCATTGCATGTATTATGAGTATCTAGGGTTTAGTTTATGTTGTGTAATTCTTATGGTATCTCCTATCAAATGTGAATTTAAATGGTTTTGAGGTGCATGGGTACTTTGGAAGAGAAAAACCCTAATTTTCTTTTAAGAAAACCCTAGGTAACGTTTAGTTTATTTTCAAAACTCAACTCTATTTTAAATCATAGTTTGGATCAAAATTCGTAACCAAACAAAATTTTAAAATACAACTCAAAATTATTTTCAAAACTCCTCTATTATATTATTATTATTATTATTATTATTATTATTATTATTATTATTATTATTATTATTATTAATCAATCAATCAATCAATCACTTTTTTTCTCTTCTCTCCTCTCCTCTCACATTCTCTCACATTGTATATTTCAATCAATCAAAAATAAAAATAAAAATAATGACAAATCATCCCAAAATTATTTTCAAAACTCATAATTAAACAAATTTTATATTTTCTAATCATGATTCAAAAACTCAAAACTCGAAATATAACTCCGCACTCAAATTATAATTTTAAAACTAAACCAAAAAGACTATTTTTTCCCTATAATTTCTTGAGTTGGAGGCTTATAGCCATTTTGGAAATTGAAAAATTTAATAACGTTATTTGAAGAACTGATGAGGGTGAAAAGTTTGTATTTGAATAATTGATTGAGATTTTTGAGAAATTAAATCGAGCATTGTTAATTAAAGTATATGAAAATTAGAAATGTTTAAAGTGTTATAAGAATTATATGGGAATATAAATAGACTAATTCAAGGAATTTCTGAATTTGGTTAGCATTACTTATGGTGATTGTGTTTATACCAATTACTCGGGAATTATATAAGTGATTAATTAATAGGGATGGTTGAGGTTATGTGTTTGTGATTTAGGGGTGGTTTGGCATCCCCTATATAATCTAACTTTTTATCTTTTTATCTTTTTTTCATCACATCGCCTCTCTACTTTTCTGCACATCTTTTCGTAAAAAGACAAAAAGTGCACTTATTTAGATCATCCCAAACAACCCTTAATTAGAAATATGTGAGTGAACAGTTAAGGAAGTTGGTTAAAATAAGGTTTTCAAATAAGTGTGAAGATAAGCGAATGTTTAAAAATCACTAGAATGCATGAAAGTATTGAAAACAAAAACGAAAGGAAATAATACTTGGTTTTGGAAAGTTATGTCTTATGCTTATTGTGTCATCGAAAATAATTGTAGTTCAAGAGCATGGCACATTAATATAGGTTTTGTTTCCTTTCGATTGGCACCTGGTAAAGTGTGTGTATTATTGAGCTATATAGAGATTTCGTTTCCTTTCGTATAGTAACTGGTAAATCATGGCGCGTTGAGATAGGTTTCAGTTTCTTTCTGGTTAGCGCTCGGTAAAATGTGTTGAGATGACTTGGCAAAGCCCAAAATTATGGAATGTGATTGTGATAGTTGTTTGCATTGCGCAATTGCATAGAAATATGTGTACATAGTGGAATTGTGATAAATGCTTACTTGCTCTCCTAGTCATAAGATCAGGATGTGTGGAAATGTTGTTAGTATTATTGATTGATAAATAGATAACTTGTTGAAATTACTTTCATTTATATTCATTATGGATAATTGAACTATTAAATGGTTGCCTTAAGAATTCCTTGGATTACTTGTTATTGTGGATTGTTAGGTAATTATAATTGGATTTAACTTCGATTACACAAAAAAAAAATTTAAGATACTTCAAATTTGCAAAGGACAAAATGAAAGGTTAAAGAGTGACTTTATTCGAAAAAATGTATAATTATGTATATGTTTATATATATTTTGGATAGTGAAAGGAAACATTATTTATATGCCTATTATGTAGAGCATCATGATCATATACATATATAGAATTTTATTGGTTAGAATTATTAGGATTTTTACTGGACTATATGTTCATTCCACGTTATTTAACCTTTTTCAGGTTCAAGCTTAGAAAGTTGTGCTCAAGCTGAAGAAGCTCTCTTTGTCGTTTTGGCCATAGGGTTTCTTTTCTTTTCTTGTAAATTAAATGACATGTTTCCTTTTTGTAATAAGTGTTATGTTTCTTTTATTCATGCTTATTAAGACTTAAGGCATTTGTTAATGTATTGAAATTATTGAATTATCATTTACATCCAAGAGAGAACTTTCATTGCTATTCATATTAATGAGATGGCTTCTGCATGTTTATGTATGAAAATGAACAATGACAATGGATTTGGTAATATGATTCGGGTTTTAAAATATGGGGCATGACAAGCATACATGCTATGGAGAAATAACTTCATGTGCTTTTGCTGCCTTGCATTATGGATTTGGAGGATTGGAATTCAAAATGAAATTGTGTTGTTGTAGTTGTAGTTTCATGTGTTTATATTGTGTATTCACATTAGTAGGTTTAACTATAAAACTACAATGTTTGTGTGGGTTTCAAACTATGGTAGGTAGAAAAAGAATAAGAGAGGAAGAGAGAGAGAGTTAAGATAAGTTTTCCTTGTGTTTTATTTGGTATTTTTCTAAAAAATACTATGAGTGAATAAAGTTGAGTTTGCAAATTTAAAGTGATCTATGTCGAAGTAAGTTTTGGACTGCCTCAAGTAGTTGTAAGCCTCCTCTCACCAACAAAAAGATATGATATCTGAATATAGCCTTGATAATAGATAAGGAGATAAGGATGAACTCAGGATTCCATCACCGAGAGGGGTAAAGTAAACACATTGGGCTAGTTCTGGTAGCTAGACGGGTTAGGTATCGAGGCTTTTTTTTTAATTAGTGAGAGAATATTATATTTCTCAAATATTAAGACAATTACGTGAAACTAGACGATCAAGCATTTAATGAAGTATGAAAATACATTCAAGCTCAACACTAACAACCATAATATAATTTTTTTTAAAAAAAATAAAAAATAAAGAACACACAAAAGGAAACAAACAATTAAAAAAAGACCCCTATAATAAGCCCTGATCTTTGTTGTAAGTCTCCTCTCACCAACAAAAGGATTTGATATCTGACTATAGCCTTGATAATAGATAAGGATGAACTCAGGATTCCATCACCGAGAGGGGTAAAGTAAACACATTGGGCTAGTTCTGGTAGCTAGACGGGTTAGGTATCGAGGCTTTTTTTTTTTTTTTAATTAGTGAGAGAATATTATATTTCTCAAATATTAAGACAATTACGTGAAACTAGATGATCAAGCATTTAATGAAGTACGAAAATACATTCAAGCTCAACACTAACAACCACAATATAATTTTAAAAAAAAAATTAAAAAAATAAAGAACATACAAAAGGAAACAAACAATTAAAAAAAGACCCCTATAATAAGCCCTGACCTTTAAGTATATATGTACAGAGGCTGACAGCTAAACTAGAAAAGTCGGAGGGTTAAAAGATATGAATTTTTATCTCAACAAAAATGCTCTTAAATGCCTTAGATAATGTTATCTATTGAATAAATACTTACGAGAGAGAGAGAGCCATCAAACAAAGAACAAGGTTAAAGACACAAGAAGGGGGGCCAAAGTGGCAAGTATGTTTGATAGTTTACTATTTAACACTAAACATAAAAAGGATTTTTGTCAAGGTAGGGGTCGTGGCCCCTTATAGTTTACATGTGGTTCCATCCCTGATAATATACAAGAAGTCTTCTTCTAAATGAATATGATTTAAACCTAAATTCCTTTCCCAAACCATATACCTTTATATGTTGCTAGAGCTTTTATGCTATGCACATATGTTACATATAGAACTTCTTCAGACATGGATGCTATTGTATAGCGATTCTGGTTGAGACCCAACATGTTGATGTTTTGGATCCGAGTTTTATCGTCTTATATGGTTGTTCAAGTCTGGTTCCTTCTTATTCCTCATTGAGTTTTGTTATTGGGGTGTCTTGGTTTTATTTGGAATAGGTTGGTAGCTTATTTTTCAAAACCGTTGTTGCCCAAAATATTGCCTCTTCGCTCGAGCGGCACTTCCTGAGCTCGAGCGGTTTTCGTGAACTTCCAGTACTTTTGCAGGTTTGCAGAGATACTGGGAGTCGCCATTCTTCGCTCGAGCAGCCTTTCTTGTGCTTGAGCAGTGTTCGCTCGAGCGGTGCTTTTTGTGCTCAAGCAGTGGTCTTCTGTCTGCAAAACTTCTGAGAGTTTGTATTCTACGCTCGAGCGGTCGCTTCCTGTGCTCGAGCGGTTACACTTTTTGTGTCTTGACGCTCGAGTGACACGTTTTACGCTCGAGCAGTCTGTGCGTATATTAGATTGTAGAGTCACCTTTTTGAGTCAATTTTTCATTTATCTCTCTCTCTCTCTCTCTAAACATTCTCAAAACCCTAGATATAGAGCTTCTCTCTCTAAAACTCACATTCTCTCTATAAATACACCTAGATCCGTTGATTTATTTACCCTAGTCTCTTTGACAAAAAGGTAGAGCATGTCGAGAGCTTTTTTTGATTGAAGCAAAGTTGGTTTTCGGCATCCTTGAGGTTCTCCACACACACACACACACAAACACACTCTCTCTCTCTCTCTCTCTCTCTCTCTCTTATCTCCTCTTTGCTTCAAGAGGTAGGGTTTATTTCCTAAACTCAATATGAGTTTAGTAGCATATTTGTGACGTATCTTGTTATTTATATTTGGTAGTGATTTGGTTGATCTTGAAATGTTATTGTGGGTTGAGGGTTTGTGCAAATTGGGGGTTGTTTGGTTATGATTTTGCTATTAAATCTATTTAGTAAACAAATTTGTATTTGATTTTCTAAAAGAGAAAAATCCCAATTTGTAGAAAAACCCTAAATGATATCGTTTTAAGAGTTGGAGTTGGATTGATTTTCGTAAATGGTTTGGTTGGAAAGAGATGGAAAGGAAATGATTGTGGGATTTTGAAAATGGGTGTTGTTACACTTTTGGAAAAATACATCTATATCGATATCTTTTAATTATTGCATTAGAGATAACTGTTTTGGTCATTAGTGGAGGATAATGTTGTCATGTGTTAGAAATTGCATGTGCATTAAGCAAATTGAAATCATTCATATCATGGAGCATGTAATGGATTTTGAAACTGTATGTTTTGGAATGAGGTTTTGGAAATTCTCATATTATATTTTGGAACATTTGCATTGTTTTGGAAAAACAATATTTGGAGTTACATGTATTGTTCTGTTGAAAAGGGTAAATAAAATGGTGAATCTAGGAAATAAGTATTGTCTCGTTGAAATAAGTTAGCCTGAGTGTCCATGGTGAAAGTCTTAAAAACTGTGTGTATACATGGGTGCCGATCTTGCAGACAAAATATCCATAAAATGGCAATAGTAGAGCTTGTATAGCCTATGTTTACATGGGTGCCAGTTTATGGATTTCCGTGGACAAAATTTCTGTGAAACATTGTATTTGTTTTGGAGATTTATCCATTTTGTTTACTATTATGTTGGTTTGGAACAGGATGTTTGGAAAATGGTTTTAACAATAATTTTTTGTTGTTGTTTAGTGATGTATTCGCATTTGATTTAGCAGTGTATTTTTGCTGGTTGGTATTGAGGTACTGGGATTTTTTTTTTTGGAAAAGGAATTTTACATCAAACTGATGATTTGAACTTAGAAAAACGTTTTAATTAAACATAAGGTTTTGGTAATTGGAAAGAAAGAATTTCATGAGAAATCAAATGGTTTGAAAATGCATTTGGGCATATTTTATATATGTATTGCATCATGATTATTTATACTGGCGGAGCATGTTTAATTTTTGAAATATTCTCTACTGGGCTTTATACTTACTCTATGTAGCTGAAATGTTTTTCAGGTATATATATGTGGATGTGGACTGTGACGTGAAGTTGTTTTTGAAACCGTATAGGGTGGTTCAGTTATTTGTAGGCCATGGGCCATTTATGTTATTTACTGGCCGTGTGCCATTCTTGTCAAGGTTACACCCTTGTGTATGATGTAAGCCTTAGGGCATTCAATTTAATTTATAACATCTATGTATGTTTTTAGTTACAGAACATCCATTCAACTTAGATGTTGTATCTAGAAAAATATAAAATCGGATAAACACATGTATTGTGTGACTATATTATATTCATTTGCATGAGAGTTGTTATCTATTGTTCATCGTTGGGTGGTTTATTCACGTGAGTTAGACGGTGTAAATCTGGAGTGTGACAACTTGGTATCAAAGCTAACCGGGTTTAAAAATCTTGGGCTTGTGGGAAGTGGTGAACCATATTGGGTTTATCGTGCTCGGTAAGAACATTTGTATGTTGTGTGCTAAGTGATAACATGTTCATGTGTTGCATTTTATATGGGTATGGTGTTGAGACTCAAAGATATTATTTGGTGTCTAGTTGACTTAGAGGTCTTGTTGGAAACGCGCTTGATCAACATTGTTTCTAATGGGAAATCTAAGCGGGCGCTAGAACGAATAACTATCTTTGTAGACTTAGCACGATTTTGTGTTATGTGTTATGTGGTAAGTGATGTGTGATTTGAGTGGAGTCTCGATGTGGTTGTTCAGATAATCGTTATGTGATTGTGTTAGTATTTTGGGAAAGGGTACTAGTGTTACATATCCTAGGTTGTGGGTATTCTCTATTTTATAAAGACGTATGGAAGAAGCAGTGAACTCAGAGTGGGCACCTTGGTGTGTGCTATATCGGTTATGTATTAGTGTTGGTTATGAATTTGAATTGGTCACCTTGGTGGCGATTGGTACATCTTTGAGAGACGGTAGTGTTTTCAAGTCTTTTGTGACGGTGTGTGAGGATTGAGTTCTGATGCTCACTTGGGTGGTATCGTGTATGTTTGGCATTGGTTGGTAATCTTTGGACTAGTACGGTTTTGGAGTTGGTCATGACCTCGGTTGGTCAGATGTAACGCACGAAGAGTTAGGTTTGAACTTTTATGTGTTGGTAGTGGTGGTGTATGGTTCTGACTTCGGTGTTGGTAACCTAGAAACCCGTGTTATGGGGTGTGGTTGGTTAGGTTGTATTATTGTGGTTTGACTTCCCTCAGGGTTGGTGGAGTTAGTTGGGCCATTTAAGCCATGAGTTGTTCTTTGTAGATGATGTATGATTGGTTGGAATAGGAGTGGTTATTTTCTGTAGTTGGGTGAGGCAATTGGTTGAATACCAGGTAGAGTTATCATTGTTGTGGGCAATTCGATAAGGCACAAGGTGTGTGAGGAGATCGTGGATGGTGTGATTGGTTTTGAGTTAGTATTTTGGCGACAGGTTGTCGCGGTGGGCTGGTCTAGGGTTGACCTAGTGAACTAGTACGACATAGTGTAGGGATGTATGAGGGTGGAGTATTCCTTTATTTTGGGTATAGAGAGACTTAGGATTACTCGTGTTTTGAGAATAGCGTATAGTTTCGTTGGGTATAGACTTGTACCTTAATGGTAGGTAATGTTAGGGGATCTTGGTATTATCTGGTTAGTTGTTTCTTGGGAAGGGATATTAGTCCCTTATCATAGTATTGGTTGTTAGTGTTTGGTGAGTGGTGTGTTCTGAACACCTTGTGTTGAATTTCAAGTAGTGGTACTGTAGATGTTTCCTAAGTTCTAGCATTTATTTATTATATTGGGTGCGAGAGATGTGTACCACAATTCTGGTTAAGTTAAGAGATGTTTTTGGAAGGGTTGATCGGGTATGTAAACCATGGTTGGTGTGTGACCTATGTGTAGGGTCATAGTTGTTTAGTGTTTGTTGGTCGAGGTTTGGAATGATAGTGAGAAGGTGATTGTTTTAGGAGATGGGTCGTGTTTTGGCTCATGTAGCGTTCTAGGTTGGTTGAGAGAGTAATTGGGAATGTAGTGTTCTATGACTTGGGTAGAGGAGGTTGAAAACTTCTTTTGTTCTTCTGTGGAGTTAGGATGGTATGACTTTGAAAGCCTTGTAGGTGTTGTGTGTATGTGCCGGGGTTTTGTTCAGGGTAATTGTTCAGTAAGTATCATCAACTGGTGGATTGACTAGGAGACTTAGTATTTGGGTTGTACTCGTGTAATGAGTGACAAATAGAATCTAGATTAAAGAGTTGACCTTATTGGTCACTGAGGGATGGAGGTGTTGTGTTTGCTTGTTGTTCAGTTTAGGTCCTTATGTAGTAACGGTGGCGTTGTAGTGTAGTAGGCTTTTGCTAGTTGACTTGGTGCGAGAGAATAAGTATGTGAATTTCATTATTGTGAACTCGGTTGACGTTATGAGTACATTGGTAGAATGAGGGATTCAGTGTGGAGATAACCTATTTGGGGTTAAGAGTGAGATGTTGTGCAGTAAGTGATGAGGTTTCGCTAGTATGGTGTGTGACAGTATATGGCTTGTGTATTGTTATTAGATGATATGTAGAAGGGGATTTGTCACAAGGCGGTCCTAGGAGGGTGCCTTGGCAAGGCAATAGTGTGGTTAATGATTGGATTGAGTAGGTTAATATTCGATAGTACTGGGTCACTTTGGTGTGAGTGTTTGTTGTTTAGTTTGGATAGTGGAACCTCGAGGGAAGTAGTAAGATTGTGTGGAGTGATTGGTTCACTCTGTCAGAGTTGTTTTGACCTATTCGGTCCTTGTGTGCGTGGTGTAAGGTACTGGTGTGTGCATTGACTTGAGATGGTGTATTGTGCTTAACTTGAGAAGTCTAATTTGGACTCAAATGTGAAGTGAGGATGTGCATGCCACATAGGCATACGTGTAATGGGTGAATGTTGAATTAGAGTACTGTGGGTTAACTTTGAAGAATCCAGAGTGATTCAACGAGCATGGAAGGTTGTGTATGGAACTCTATTTCGGAGTTAGTGAGGTTGGGCAAGGTGT